CTGATTTTACTGATTATTATACATCAAATAACAACAAACGTTCTTAGAAGGTACTGTGGTTGAAGCCCTTCCTTACGCGTAGCGTCTGACAGGAAACTGAAGATCCTTTCAGGAACCTCTGATGGTTCACCAGCTGATTGGTTTTATCCAGAGAACACTGACAGTAATCACCGCCTGCTGCCTCGTCCATCGCTTTAATCATCGGGTCCGTTTGTGATGCAGAACTTTGAGACTTTAACGCTTCGTCTGAACGGAACACGTCGGGTTTGATCTCCTCGTTCTCACAGTTTGTGCTGTTCTACAGACGATCACTTGCTCTCTCACTGTGATGATACGTTATCTTGTTATGAGCCGGTGTTTTGTAAATGTTTGGGTCTGAAATTGGAGCCAAGTAAAGTTTGGGGGTTTTAAACGTGAAAGCTTTGCTGATGTTCTGGACACCAGAGCTGCTGCTGACTGATCCGTCATGATCCCGTTCCACCGGTGTCTCACCTGTTCAGTACCAAACTCAGCGAGCTGCAGCTGCTGGCTCCTGATTTACAGCTGGATAATGAAGGTTTATATAGAAACAGTGACAGCAGCCGCCGCCTCCACATCTGAACCTGTGACGCATTTCGACTGTTTTTACCACTGACGGCTCCAGAAGTGTCTGATAAACCGGTTTCTGCTGATTCCCACGTTGTAATATGAACAAAAACACCATTATTGCAGATTCTTTGTATGCAAACAGCAAAAAGAAATATTTATATACAGAAAAATTTATGAATGTGTGTGTGTGTGTGTGTGTGTGTGTGTGTGTGTGTGTGTGTGTGTGTGTGTGTGTGTGTGTGTGTGTGTATGTGTGTGTGTATGTGTGTGTATGTGTGTGTGTTGATGAGAAGCAGCAGCAGAAGAAGAAATCAGTCCATCACACTTCGTCTCTTCTTCTGTGGTTGTTTCTCTTTTTTAAATCTCGTTCTCATCACTCTGGCGGCTGCCAGCATGGCGACGGTCGCCACGGTAACGGGGATGCAGCTCCCGGCCCTTGATGTGGTTGCCGTGGAAACAAGCATCTCCAGCCCTCATTAGCACCTCCCCCTCCCTCCCCCCAACGCAACTTATAATTATCTCAGTGCTGTCATCGGCTCAGGGAACAGGTGTGTTTACATCACAACAGGCTTCAGGATCAGCTGATCAGAAGAAGAAGAAATCATCCAATCAGAGAGCTCGTTACTCCCTCACACCTCTGACAATAACATATTATTTAAATTGCAGTTTGGTAAAATAAAGAAAGTAACTGATGTCATTTCATCAACACAAGCTGCTGTTTGGTACTGCTGTTAGCTTCTGTCTCTTAGCATCTGTCTGTTAGCTTCTGTCTCTTAGCATCTGTATGTTAGCTCCTGTCTGTTAGCTGTCTGTTGGTTGTCTGTTAGCTTCTATCTGTTAGCTCCAGTTTGTTAGTTTCTGCTTGTTAGCATTTGTGTGTTAGCTCCTGTCTGGCCTGTTAGCTGTCTGTTAGTTGTCTGTTGGCCCCTGTCAGTTAGCCTGTTAGCTGTCAGTTAGCATGCTAGCTGCCTGCTAGCTGTTGGTTAGTTGACTGTTGACTCCTATCAGTTAGCCTGTTAGCTGTCTGTTGGCCTGTTAGTTGTCTGTTTGCTCCTGTCCGTTAGCCTGTTAGCTGCCTGTTAGCTGTCTGTTAGTTGTCTCTTGGCTCCTCTCAGTTAGCCTGTTAGCTGTCCGTTAGCCTGTTAGCTGTCAGTTAGCCTGTTAGTTCTCTCTTGGCTCCTGTCAGTTAGCCTGTTAGCTGTCTGTTAGCCTGTTAGTTGTCTCTTGGCTCCTGTCAGTTAGCCTGTTAGTTGTCTGTTAGCCTGTTAGCTGTCAGTTGGCATGTTATTTATCCATTAGCCTGTTAGCTGTCAGTTAGCCTGTTAGTTGTCTCTTGGCTCCTGTCAGTTAGCCTGTTAGCTGTCCATTAGCCTGTTAGTTGTCTGTTAGCCTGTTAGTTGTCTGTTGGCTCCTGTCAGTTAGTCTGTTAGCTGTC